AAATAAAATCTGCAAGCAGATCCCTCCTGCACGATTGAATTCAATATTATTGATAGAATTTTATCACGAGTTAGAAACGATCAGTATCGATAGAGCTTCTTCGATAATTTTAACGGCAATACAATTTTAATAATCAAATTTTAATAAAACAAATGAAATTTTGCAAATTACGAAAGAGGAGTTTACGATCTGCAACTTGTCGCGTAAATAAATAAATACAATAATAAATATTATTAACAGAAAATTATCGCAGACACGAACAATTCTACACGCAATTTTACAGCGCTAAAAATTCCCAATAAGATCTTTCAATTAAACTTCTTCCATGATCTAGAAAGTAGCCGTGGCGTCAATGACCACAATAACCGAGGTTTACCAGGTGTAATTGCTATTGTCACGTTCTGCAATCGCGTTATCGCGAATCTCTCAGTTTCTTATTCAAAACAGGCATTGTCTGGGCGACAATGAGCAGCGTCTAGAATGACAGCACGAAGCACGAGAATAGAGAAACGACGAAGCGTATTACCTTGCAACGCGAATTGCGACATCCTTCTCTGGGACTGTCCTCGGTCTGATATACCGATTATGCGTTTGCACTAGGTTGCGAACACCGATTTGCATGTTTCTATTCACACCTCCAATTGCAATCGAGCTAGCTCTTCCTTCAATTAACACCGACCACGATCTTCCATGTGTCATGTGGTTTAAAGTCGTATTATCTTCAAGCAACTAATTACTAGGTTTAAGTTAAGTTATCTTCGAGTGGTTAATTATTCGACTGGTATCGTTTCTGTGAAATGTAAGCTGAGCGGGATATCCGTCGATCAAATACGTAAAGTGAAATATCGCTGTGGTCGATTATCATTCATGTTAAAGAAGCATAAATTTTGCAGGGATCATGCACGTATATTGAATATTAAGAATGTTATAAAATGTTATGAAAGTATCAAACTTGTGTTATAATATTGTCACGTATAATCAGGAATACTCGCGCGTTTCTTTTTTTTACGTGAGTTTGAACTCGAAGATAGCGACGTGGAAATTGTTGGAAACATCTTTGCATTCGTGTGAGATTACAGACCTCTGTTCTACCTGGACAGTGTTTCAATACGTAAATAATTACTTCAATTTGATGCCTTTGACGAGTATGCTCGTCATGCGTAAAAAGTATGTACGATTTGCTGTTCGAATTGCAATCTTGGTGAAAACTAAAATACATTCGTAAATTTTAAGCTGTTTTGAATATTTGCGCGCCAGGACGAAATAAAACGAACAAATAGAAAGATGTAAATAATTATTACGAAAGAAGCGTATATAGTGCGAACAATGCGACACATTTTAGGTACCTGCTTAGGTCAAGCAGGTCGCGATGGCTAACTGGTTAAAAGAAATCAGACCAAATTGAAATTTCAGGGTAGGGTGACTATGAGACAGATCTGCGATATAAAATATATTCAAAGCGGAAGATACAAAGGCGAATTATTATTTTGCGTGGGCAACGTGACTCATCCACTTTCGATCTCTCACTTATTCAAGACACAAAGAAGGCATACGATTGGAAAGTTTTCCATTTGCGGAATTTCATATCCTACTACCTATAGGAAATTAAAATTTCATAGGAAAAGCTATCGAAACTAGAAAATAGAATATCAGGAGATATATTCGAAGCGAAACATATAAAAATTTCATCTGAACAGCGTGACTCGTTCGTGATTTTCGATTTCTAGATTTGTGTGTAAGGGTGTTTCGTAATTGTCGTTTCCCGAATTTCCTACTCTGCTTCAACGAAGCAAAAATGAACGTTTCACGGTAGAAGAATGTGCGAAGAGCGACCGTGTGAAAAGCAACGTATTTTCAGCATAAAGTATACGAAGATAAGTAGTCGTTTTATTCGAGCAACGTGACTCGTCCACTTTCGATCTCAGTTGCCTCGAGACACAGAAGAGTACACAGCTTGGATGCATCGCGAGCTTGCGAGGCAGGTGAAATGTGTCTGGAGAACAAGGACACACGGCGATGTACTTGCACGAAGCTACGTGCTCGAGGAACTTGATAGCTGGTTTAGCGTGTTTCGCGTGGTGTCATGGCTCGTATGTGTGGAAACTTGGCATAAGAAGTAGGGGCGAGGAGGGAAGAGGTTAGGCCGAGATTAAACAATTGACTGGCGTGATAACGAGGGCACTTCCCGCCACTAAACTCATCCTGTCGTGTCGTGTCGTCTAACCTACGTGGCTCTCTGGATCCACTTAATCCTCTGCTCATCCAACTGCCCTTCAGGCCATCGCGTGTTGCATCATAACGTGGAAATGCCTCCTCGTACACCTCGCTACGAATTACCTTCGTTCCAAGCGTCGTGGAAATGTAGCTGAACAGCTTCTTGCACGCGACAACTTGGCTGTTGCCAATGCTTTGTATTTTATTAGTCGATTAATTCGGAGTCATCGCGTTGAATTTTAACCAGTTAGCTGTTTTCGACGAGTTTCGAGTGCGCAATTTATTGTCTAAATTATAATTTAATAATTGCATTAAATTGCAGTAATAGAATTAACAAATAAAACAGTCGTTTCTTCGCGACTTAATTCTTGAGAAGACTTATTAGATATCCTACTCTTATTGATTTTCAATTAAAGAAAAATGGTGCTGAAGCCAAGGAAACGAGAGATTTTGAAATGGTAATTTGGTTGTTTTTAATTAAGGATGCCCAGGGAAACCATACAAATTTGGAGACGCAGAATTTGAGTAATTGTTAACTGAAAGCTGTATTAGATTCGAAATACCGAAATAGTTTACATACGTAATTTAGGTTTGATGATCCTTATCGAACAAATGAAACTTAAGCTATAGTTGTGATTTGTTTTGGTTGAATTTTTGTTCCACACTTGTACCACAGAGTTTCCTATTTTATTATTTCGATAGACGTGTTACGCGTATACAGGACGCGAAAGTTTGGAATTAGTTTTTCTACAGTTTTTCTACAGATTCGTTTTATGCGAGACGGATAACGAAGCCGATGTCAGCTGATTCAGAGATACGATCAGTAAATGTCGATTAAATTTCACAGCGACCAATAGCAACGACAGTCTGCGTAAAAAGGTCAGACAGTGTCTGGCCTTTAAAAAATCATTCAGTAATCATCGCGGTTATATTCCACTAACTTACTTCGTACGATATCCTTCCGAATGGTCAAAGGGCTCATACAAATTCGTTCTTTTTCTGCAGAAAAAAAAGCGAAAGAATAATTTCTAATTTTCACAATGATCTTCTAAATTGCATCTTTCCTTTTAACAAAATATCGATCATATCGCGCAATTAAATATCACAAATGCGAAACACGACAACTCACTTTTCCTGTCTTTTAAATTTCCAAACTCAATGAAAGCAAAATTGGAATCATCATCAAATTTCACGTGTACATCACTTTTCGTACTATTTCATACACCGAGTATCGGCACTTCTGGCTACTACGATCATTGCCCACAGTTGAAAAATTTGGTAATTTGATTCTTATTATAATCTTTTTACTATAACGCATGTTGCTACGGGAACAAAGTTTCTGGCGAATTACGATCAGTGCGCGACTCGTTGATGCGAACGTGTACCAGAGAGATAAGGTTAAACGAGCCCGGAAATCGTCAGTTAAGTGACACGGTAGAACGATCTTAATGGCGATAAGGTAAAAGAAATTGTCCCTTTCATTCAATTTAATACCGCGATTCTCATCGAGAGAACAGCACCGTGCGTCCGAATGAATCGGATGCTTCGCATTCCAAAACAAGTCCAGGAACAGCCTCGCGACTTTTTCCCTTTTGCGTGACATCGTAACGTAACCCTCCGAATATTCTTTTAAACAGCAGATATCGGCAGGCGATACCGAAGAAGAAGAAGAAGAATAAGAAGTCTTCTACAGCTTCACGTCTGAATTTCGCGTTCGTTCTAACCGAATCGAGGAAGACGAGTTAACTCGTCGCTCGAATTTCCCAATCTCTTACGTATTAACGTTTTTACTGTTCGATGAAAATCAACTCAGGTCTGTCGTCGCTTGTCCGCGAGTCGTTCGTGTCCTCGTTGATCCGATCCATCGATAGCTTAATTCGCGCCGATGAGTACGACCGGTTAAAATGGAGAGCGAAGGCGATGGAACAAGAGAAACGATAAGCGTAAAGAAGCGAAAAAGAGAAAGCGAAAGGCGGAGTTCGTACTACTTCGATCGTTGGAATCGTGCAGGATGCTGGCCAGTTAGTCGAACTTAAACGGCGCGTATGTATGAAAACTACGCGGCATGACGTCTTTGTGTCCCAGTTAGAACAATTTAGAGGCCCAGTTGTACGGCGAAGGCAAGTTGTTTTAAGAGGGCACGATCGTTGCAAATCGCCCGGCGAGTAATTGATCCTCCTCCGAGGCAATTTAGCCTCTAGAAATCTAAAGCTTCTAGCTCGTTTTGGTCCCGTGGTTCATCGATAGCGGAACGGAAATCCAGTCAATTAGAAGATGTCCGAGATTTTCTGCTCTTTTTGCTTCCCCCTGGGCCTGCTGACGTAAATGCTACGTGTGTGCGTGGAATGGTTAACGAACGAGGGGGGTCGTTGATGATTTAATGCAATCTCGTTTCAGGTCGTTCAAGGGGGTACTCTAATTTCGAATTTTCAAGAAAACCATCTCTCTTCGTCTGTTTTACGAAGACGTAGGTTCTTGAAATTACACCTGCAAAAGCATTTTTTCGAATTCGTAAAATTAATTCTGTCGTGCAGGTTCAAGAAAGACGGCGCGCAGCAATTCGAAACGATATTTCTAGTTCCAGCAACCATCGTCGAATGATTATTTCTTATCTTTCGTCCCGCAAGACACGAAAGAAGTCGCCAAAATCTGACTCTGTAATTTCAGAATGTCACCGTCTTTTTTTTTTAAATCCTTCTTTTTTAAATATTTCTTTCGCAATCTAGTTCATATCCTAATTATATTTATAATATTTGGAAGTTTTTGGTTTCTTCGATTCAAATAAGCGAAACGTACAAGAGTCTGTACAATTCAGCTATATTCGTTTGAAGAAAATTCTTTGTCAATATATACGAGGAAGCTAATATCAAACCTCTTGCGGTTCTTCTAGAAAAGAAATTCTCTAGACTAAAATAAGTCTTCTCATAAGCCTTCTACTTAACTCCTTAACCCCTTAACGCACAGATCATTCCTTTATTTATTAATGGAAATTTATTACAATATAGTGGAAAACAAGCGAAAATGCAATTATATACACAACATGTTTCTTTATGACATATATGGACACCTTTCATAATTCATATAAATTATCGTATAAATTAAATATATAAGATACTATAGCTTGAATGCATATAATAATCGCTCAAACTAGAACCAATATGGATATCTTTATTTATAAAATACTGTAGTTTTTCAATCCACAAAGATCGATGTCAAAAACAATTAATTCAGTGAAACCCAATCTTCAAATACACATATCACGTTAAATACGTGCGTTAAGTGGTTAACGATGGTCCACGTTTGCTCACCTACACCTGTTCCTGATAGAAAACAGCGTGCCTAGGGAGATGATTCGTTTTGGATGAATCGCCCTCCAACGCGTTCCGAGAGGGAAACTCCTTCATAGGCTCCATATCTATCACGTGGTGTTCGACGTCGCCTAAGATGAAGCTGGTCTTTTTCTGCGGGCTCTTGTGATTCTCTCCCAGGCTGGACCTCGAGGAGGTGAGAGGATGAGGCGAAGGTTCGCGATACGCTTCCGAGGATTCCGCGAACTTGGTATGTCTGAATGAATGAAACACAGATTAGCATCGTTTCTATAATTAAACGCGGTCTTCGGATTTTCATTGAACATTCGAATAGAAGGAAATGGAAGGCCAGATTCTAAGATTTCTAAGAATTGCCCATGATTTATCGTTGTGTCACGCTTTTGGTTTCTCTCGAGACGATCGCGTTGCGAGCAGATTTTTATGCATTTCTAAAAAAATTTTAAAGCGAAAAATCTTGAAATTTTTAAATAGAAAAATCGCACAGGATGCAAACAGGAGAAAGTTTTATGAGAAAGTATATAAAAATATCTAAAGCGTGGAGATTTCTACGTATAGCTGGTAGGCGAGACTATTTTCTATCTAAGACGAAGACTACGTTTCGGTTCTATTCTCCTAATTATATTTTGTAAAATATGAATTTGCATAAAAATCCGCTGTCACATTTTGCGTCAGTGTCGCAGCTTATGAAACGTTGACGCAAAAGTTGTAACTCGTAACGCTGTTGCCTCTGAAGAAACATCAAAAGAAGAGACAGATTTGAATACCTGGGATCTAAATGCTGTCGCGATGGTGATTTCGATAGGGAGCTGATAACTGGAACTTGATCCATCGTCGTCCTAGAACTGGATCTCTTTATCGTGTCTCTCGACTCGCTCTTCCTAGAGTCTAAGGTACACTTGGACGGTTCTCTGTGTATTCTTCTGTCTTCCTTACTCGGTGCCCGATTTTTCCTTAAGGTCGCGTTTATATCTTCCAATACACGATCATAATCCTCTTGGTTTCTTAATTCCTCGTGGGAATAATGATTTAAAACGTGCGGATCACCGTCCAGGAACTAGACACAGAATGAAAATATTTGCGTTTCTATTAGTATATCATAACTATTAGCAGACTGCAGATTTTTATGTATTTATAGGAAACGTGAAAGCGTGAAATCGATACGAGGATATATATAAAATGTTCAAAGTACAGTGATTTCTATGATACTTGATAGATAAAGTAATTTTCTACCAATATTCAGCTTCCTTAATTATATTCCAAGGAACGTGAATTTGTATGAAAATCAGCAGTACATCTATACAATAAAATTTGTCTAATAATTCTATTGTTAAATCATTTTCAAGTACCATAGACTGTACGTATGTACATGTCGAGAAATTAAGCTACTTGTATCTTCCTTGGATTTAGATGAAATCTGACCCTCGTAGCAATATTTTGAAGAAACTATGTATAGTTGAAGATTTATTTAATCGTGCTGCAGCCTTCGGTTCGCTTTTGTCCTCACTTGTTCTTTCAGAACTCTACTATTTCTTAAAAATATTGAGCAAGATTTTCTCGAATGTAACCTTGAGAATATATTAGAATCCTAGTGTCCCTGTTCAAGTGACATTTTAGAAATAAAAATAGTTACGCATAACACAGATATTAAGACACGCTTTAACGAGAGATACTTGGAAATACAAAAAAACGCTACGATAGTTTTATTCTTATCCAAAATTATAACAATTGGCCGATAATAGTCTCTTACGAATACGATAGACGTATCAACATTGAACGCTTATATTCCATATCCGTAGACAATTTAAGGAATTAATTTAATTTATTAATTTAATTTAACGCGTCAATAGAAAATTATATTACACGGAAAACCAGATTTCACTGTGGTCTGAAAATGTGTTACAGTCCATCAAAAAAAAGGACCAGATTCTACACACGATTTTAAAACAGAAAAGTGCTAAAAGTTTACAAAAGCCACTATTACCTATAGCTTGTCGTAAATAAATAACTTCGATAGAATGTACTGGCCTTAACTGGCTGGCGACTAAAAAACGTAACGATATATTCTATTACTGCGTTTCCTTGGTTCTGCAAGTATAGTTGGAAAATGGAATCAGAGAAACGGATTTCACACGTAAGAATCACTTTTATCTCGAAGATCTTAAACGTGTACTTGAAGTGGAGAACTGCAGCAGGATTAAAGAGACGACGTTCGTGTACAACGATCTAATAAAAAGAAAAATAGTAGCTACATGTTTAGTACCTCGTTTTGCGTGTAAAATATGGACTGCTTTAAGTCAGTTTGCGCGCTTTGCATGCTCTCGCGTCTAAGAGAACCGTCAGGGCCGGTGATCATAACTGGAATCGGAGTGAGCGTCATCGGCACGTTCATGTGCAATCCGCCTGTTGACGACGCTAGGCTGGAACCGGATCCGGTGGTCAAAGAACTGCTCGACGCATCGCGATAATGAGCGAATCCGCTGTTGCTCGCACGTTCTGAAATACCTAATGGTGCATAGAAATTCAAAATTAATTTCAGGAAAAAAATTCCATTTTACATACGGCGTAGCAGGAACGGTTGGTTCATCGAGAGTCAGTCGAGTCTCGCTGAAGCCAGTTTATTTAACGACCACCTCCGCGAGAAAAACACTCGCAAGTTTGTTGTAAATACTTTTTTAAGATAAGAATTTCGAGTATGTCACAGGCTATGTAGTCCCGTTTGTGGATAGCAAGTTTTTCTGTAATTTTCTTTTTCTTTTCTTTTTTTTTTGGTTGAAATGATCAGCTTTCGCGTTCAAAGTTTTTTATTATTTCTAGTTAGTTGTTCGTTGGCCTTTGTTCAGATTCACCGTACCGAGCGAATTTACGAAATACGATTACAACGTGCATCGATCTTTGTCTTATTCAAAAACCGTTTTCCCTTCGAATAAAAGCGAAGAGTTCGTGGAGCCAGCGCGCTACCGCGTTATCGTATTTGCTCGAGCATAGTGCGCCAACTTTGTCTTTTTTCCAATTTCTTCGCTTTTGTATCGGTAGTATCGAACGAACGTTCTCCTTGACTGTCACGACAGACGAGGAAACGTTGAACCAAACTAGACGGCAAGAAGTTCGCTCTACGGAGATATGACGTGTCGTTGTTGAATCGCGTGAGTTGACGGAGTGTGTTGACGAGAATTCAATAAAACGGTAAATTTCAAAGAAGAAAGAAAAAGGGAGAGAATGGAAGAGGTGCCAGTGATTCTTCAGAAACGTTCAGAGTAAATCAGTTAAGTCGTTACATGTAAATTTGATAAACTGTACGACGCGAGAGGTGGATTTCCAAGAAAGTACACGCGTTGTTATGGCGACACGAGCGAACACGCGAAACAATGACGAGAAGCTCGTTTGCGACGCAGATAGAAAAATTTGAAACGATCCGCGAGAAACCGTACGACGCGAATGAGCAGCTTTCCAACGTCGCGATGATGTGAAATCATTGCTGAGCATTGTTTGTCCTCGAAATTCCTCAAACTTCTCTATAGCGTGGGAGTTTAGCAGGGGAGAAGAGAAGAGCACAGGGAAATTAATTGCGGAATTCATTCGCGCGGACGATTGTTGGAAGTTGAAGAAGAGGCCATTTCGTCGCTTGCACCGCGTGTTGGAAATCACCGAGTGAAACCCGGAAATAAGAGAAAGAAGTGGAGAACTCGAGGAGGGTCGAACCACTTAAAAGAGAAAAAGTAGTTGCAATTACAGTCACGAGACGTGCCATCGGTACGACAAGTGCAAAAAGCGAATCCTTGGCGGAGAGTACAAAAATAGAAAAACGGACAACGCGTCGTAAACGGCACACGTGTGCGACGTCAGTGCATTTTTCTTAGAAACAACGCACGCTGATGATTCTGTGTTATTGGCGGACTTCGATGAGACTATGCGTATGACTTATAGTCACGAACGTTTCCGTGAACCTGAGCCACCGAAGATGGCATGTTTTCCCCAGATAGCTGGTGATACATTACTCAAAGTCGCTAAAGTGTCGGTAAGACAGATGCTGGAGCTTTAACGAACGATAAACTGATAGATCAACCGCTGAAAGAAGTACTCTTGCCTGCGTAGTTGAAGAGGAATTTGTTTCAGTGAGAGCGTTAACGGACGAGGATTTTTCGTTTCACGTTCACAGCGATCGCCGTGAAATTCGAAATAGCGAAGACGCTCTATCCGCGCAGGAAACACGCTACGCTCCGCTGTTCCGATGTGTGTTTTTCGATAAGAAGAGACCGATAGGACGTAACGTGCCTCGCGAGAACTTGCTAAGACGATAAGAATGAAAGGCTGGATCGCGTTGATGTCAAAACGATGAAGAGGCCAACCAAGCGTTGAAATGATTTTTTTTTCTTTTTGAAGCCTGTACGTTAAAGATGAGCGAGCAAAAACGAAAGATACATATTCCAAGTAAACGAGAGAGAATTTCGTGAATGTGGGTTCAAGATATTTTATCCTGTTGAAAGACGACAGTACTAGTCTTCGGACTGTTTGTTTTACACGTCACGTAGCAGAAGCTTTTGAAACATTTCAAGAATACTATTGCGTTTAGGCAAACTCGTGATAAAATAAAAGCCTTATAAAAAGCTAATGGGACGGAATATACGCGAGGCGAGTTTCACGATTTTCTGGAAAATGGGGAATCATTCACGAAACATCAGCACCATGTGTTCTGCAGTAAAATGGACAGGCGGAGCGTGAAATAGGTACCTTGGTGGAGAGCGCTAGATCGATGTTGATTACCAAGGCTGTGTCAAGTACGTTGCAGGCCAAAGCTGTCAAGACAGCAGCGTATGTTCTAAACAGAACCCTTTGGAAACAAGTACACAGGGCATGATGGCGTACGAAAAATTGATCACCGGTCGTTAGCCGGAGATTAAACACACGCGCGTGTTCGGATGGACAAGACGTCCCAAAGGTAGAAACTCAATGAAATTCAATGCGAAAGGCAAGAAAATGGTATTTGTTAGCTACGGCGAGAAGTCGACAAACTATCGACCGTGGGATGCAAAGCGTAAAATTCACGTGAATCGCGACGTTGTTTTTAATGAGAGTTGCGTGAAGTCAGAGCCAATCGTAGAGACCTGAGAGAAGACACAAGTCTGGTTGGTTTCCGCTAAACTACAATATCAATGCAGAGGATGAGGATGCTTGGAAGATGAAGAGGTAGTATTGGTACAGTCAAATGACGCGAGAGTTGGTTTTCAATTGCGACAAAATTCCTATGTACGTGGAAAATCAAGATCGATGAATCAGCGAAGTTCGCTAGTAATCCGGAGTGTCATAAACGGGCAAAATGTATTGATGCTCGCTTTCATTTTATTGAGCGACGTTCGTGAGATTGATGTGCTGATAGAGACTAAGCGGCAGCAGCAGGTGACAGATATATTTACTAAACCGGTAGTGAGATAATTTGAATATCTGTAAGATAGGCATATCAAACGAAACTATATAAATGAGAGAGTTAAGATAAGACTGTCAAACAAACCACAGGCTATATAGTCCCGTTTATAGGTAGCAAGTTCTTATGTAGTTCTTTTTTGGTTGACGCTCGAACACTCGGTAAACGGCGAAGGCTTTCGCCTTCGACATTTCTTTTTCTTTCTATTTTTCGTTCAGATTTGCCGTGTCGAACGAATGCACGAAACACATTGTATCAATTTTCGTTTTGCTATCAAATAAAATTCAACAGTGTATCTTCTGGTCAAACGGTTAAATTATTCTATGAAATTTGTATGAATTTTGTAGATATCAAAGAGAATAAAGTCATTGTAATTAGAATAGTAATAGATTCTAACAAGTTATGTCAAGTTACGCGGCATTATTACCAATGCAAACGTAGTTAATATTAAAAGACTAGAACCGAAACTGTAGGTTTATGGGTGTTTTCGTAGGTCTGTTTAATGGTTTCTGAAACTGTTTCATGGGTCTTTTGCCAGAAAGTTTCTTCCCCAATATTACCATTTTTTTCTAAATATGATGCAATATGGAACAGTCACGGAATTCATCCTTATATACTGTAAGCTTGAAGTTACTAAGTGTAGAAGCTAAGAATTCGAAGAAAAGCCAGCTTAGAAATGTATTGATACGAAGGAAATGACTATATTCGTTTCAAATTAATAATAAAATTAACAGAAGCGTTCTATCCAACTACAAGTGAGAAGACGAGTTAGAAAATGATCTAAATTTCTTAGCCGCTATTGTGTGTATTTTGTGAAGAAAAAATCATTTAAATTTCCAAAATTGCATCGTCCTAAATTTACAAAATTTCTATGAAAATCTTTTAAGAATCGATGGTCCTAACTCCCTTGATAATTTTGGCATTAACAATTTAGTAATTTCCCTTTTAAAAAAATATGTTCCATCCGAACGATTTACTATTTAACAATGGTTTTAATTATGGAATTAATCGGTAATTAATAGGCTCGAGCACACGTTCAGTGCAATTACAGTTTGATTCTTTTCTTGGTCCAAGGTTCGGACATATTGGCAGTGGTCGGAAAGTGGAGTGCCAGATTTTCGACTCGAGGCAAAAGCTACAACGTATACGGCGGCTAAAAAGTAGTTTGCGTCGCGGAATGCGTCTCATGTCGCGGACAGTATCGCTTGTGACAGTACAGATTCAATAAGCTTGATTCATGTTAATCGAGGTCAATCACATTTCACCGACAGCGTACAGTGGTCGATAAAATAGAGTTCTCCATCCATTACTATCAGATGACTGCGGATATTTATGCAAATTTGTATTTTCATGAATTATTTGTAACTTGTAACTTGTAAACTTGTTCCACCTGTTAAGTATGATAACGTATACTGCGTTTTGCATATTTCACGCGTATCCTCGCGTATTATGCGAGTTCAATGGATTTTTGCATTTTCGACCTGTCAGTCTGGTCTCTTAAATTAGAAACATTACGAAATTAAAGACGAATAAGGACAAAGCAAATGCGATTTTCAAACCGAAATAAATTTCTAAACGAAGCACTTAGCACGTCTAAGAGATTTAGGATTCAAACGACGAATTAACGCGTTTCCCGGTGAATGCATAAAAATCCGCAGTCCGGTATTATCACGACGATTCTTTGAAGAATTTTAACGAAGCTGGGAATTCATGCTTGTTAGAAGTTTTTCTTTGCTCGTACCTCCTTTCGATCGCTGCATCGTCCTAAGTTTGTCCAAATCAGCCGCTGAGCATAACGGTGTGTCAACCTCGTAGGTATTGTTGAACAAGGAATAGTTCACTTCGTATTCCCCAGTCTCCTTTTTGAACGTGATTATGTGTTCAAATCTGTGTCCCCATAAAATTTCAGAGGGCAGGTACGAGCTCCTGGCTTGAGTCGTCATGCCAGTTGATTCGATGACACCTGCAATTGACGAGGAATTTTAGAAATTTTGCTTGTCTTTTTGACTCATTAAATACATAAGGTTTCCTGAAATTTGGTCCAACGACAGCTGTAATCAATGCGAAATTATAGAAATTTATCTTCCTGATTCATCCAGTGTGTTATGCAACTGATGGTTCAATTACTCATCATACAGACTGATTCGACGCGGAAACATGTTATACGAAGCTTCTCTTTGTCGAGAAAATAGACCTCGATCGATTGAAAATTAGTCCGTAAAAGTTTATCAAATTCGATTTTTCGAAAAAGTTCGAACGAAGATATCTTTTGTTTTAGATTTTGAACTAATCTTCGCACGTGAGATAATCTATCAGCGATAATTTACTCGTATTTAATCCGAAAGTGGTTTGTTTCACGCGATCGAACGAAAACCTTTTGCTTCGTATTTTCGACTTTCACCTTGGTAATTTAATACGTGGGACCTGCGTATTAAATTACCTTCCAACATGACGATAATCTCGAATCGTTCCCTGAGCATATCGCTGGCTGATATATGATAAAGAGGCGACTTTTCGTCGATCTTGTGAACGATCGTCGTTGGCCAAATAAAGAATATCTTGTCCTCCTCGCCATCGCCGCCCACTTTCAATTCTGTTTGGAAGAACGGCAGCAGTTCTCCTTCTCTGGTAACCTGAAAGTATAGTTGACGCCATCAGATCATTATACTATTTATCCTGGATGAAAGCAATAAAGTAGAATTTCGTAGAAATTGGCACTGGACGAAGTTCCTTCGATCGAATCGAGACAACTTTATAGAGGAGAATTTAAGCGCGTGAATGACAAAAACAAAGTTTCTCTTTGGGATTCTTCGGTAAAAAAAAAGACGGACAAACAGGCGTTACGTAATCGTTTTGCACGTTCAACCCGAAGGAAATAGAAACTCACCTTCCTTTTGATCATCTGGGCTCTGACGTGAGCCTCGATGATGTGACTCTTCCTCATGTCACCGACACGGAACATCAAACAGGGTTGTCCATCCCTCTGACAGATCACAGCGTTCCTTGAAAACAGCAACGTCTGCGTTCTCTTCTTTGGCCGGGATAGTTTCGCGAAAACTATGCCGACCATGAAGGCCTGCAGGATCACACCTGTCATTGACTGGATACATATCACGAACACGGCCTCTGGACACTCGTCTGTTGGATGTTTCGACCCGTACCTACGATATTTGTCGCTGTTAGAATGGCTTCATCTCGAGGGAGAAAGTGAAAAACGGAACCGTAGAAGATCCGGTGGAGCCGAATTAATTAAACCGAAGCTTAGGGAGCCCAGTAGCATAGAATTTCTAGAACGGCCATGGGGCAATCGGGGATCGTGGTAGAACTTCAAAGTTATCTAGAAATCGTGGGATCATCTTAGACTGACGAAGATTTTGGGATCGTAGGGAACCGTAGGTTTGAGGTTTCGAGATTTTTGAAATGTTTATTTTCCAATCATCTTACGAGAAGAATTTAAAGTTTCCTGAATTTGTACAGTTCGTGAGACCACGCGATCGCGGGAATTTGCAAAGTGCGAAATTTTGAGAATCTTGAGATTTTGAAAATTGTGTGGTTTCAAGGATTCATTTCTTGCTATCCAAATCTCTGGATTACTACGACCTACGACTTCAGGTCGGAGGTACGGCTGGTCCCAGGATTTTCAGGCGACTGTCCCGGGTAGCTACAAAAAAAAAATCACCACTTTTAGGTGTCTAATGAACGAATTCGAATTTTCCGAGTGATCCGCGTGAATTGACAAGTTGCACTTAACCCGTAGAAAAATTCGTTTATCTTATCGTTTAGTCGATTGCAAACTGCGGCTCAAGTTCTCCTGATTATCTGTATCTGTGATCTACAATCTCTAGATGACGTAAAGTGGTACTACAATCTGTACGCGACCTAAGATTAGGTACCGAGGCAATTAATCTCAGATTAATTTCACCAGTTTGCTGGGTTACTCTAGGTCAGAATTCTCCAATCTTGCCAATCGCAATGTTTGCAAGGTAACTTCGCTGTTGTACCTCGAATGAGAGTTACGAATATTAAATAAGTTTCCTCTCGTTCGCTAGATTTCTAAGAAAATTACCGACGATCGCATCGAGCCCCAACGTTATCGCAACCAACCAACTAACTTAACTAATTAATCAATTAACCAATTAACTTAACTAATTAATCAGGGGAGGAAGGGTATAGTTCTTCGAAATCGACCGCGTTGTTAATTCATTCGAGTCACTGATCCGATATAAATTACGCTTGATAATAATAGAAGATAAGTGGTAGTCACCCGATCGTGTGCTGCGTCTCGATGGAAAATAGGAAGGAACTGGTGAATCCACGAATCTCCCTGATGCACGGGGTGAACGTTATGTTTGGATTGTTCTGATTTTCCAGGTCGAGGTCGCCGTGGCTGTACGCTATCAGCCACCATATCAGGGCGAAACCGAGCCATGACAATAGGAAGTTCATGGAGAACACCAGGAGAGTCCAACGCCATTGTGCGTCCACCAGCGTCGTGAAAATATCCTGAAAAGGTTACATAAAAATATAGTTTCGATGAAAATTTGAAATCGTCTGATTATACAGGCTGCGGTCGAATAACACGTACAAACAGGCACGCGATGATTTCTTGATGAAAAAATAAGAAGAGAATATGCGATAAAGTTTGTTCAGTTGTTAAGGTTTAGTTTTGGAGAAAATCGAGCTTGCAAATTTATCGAATATACTTGAACATGGCTAACTACCGATTGGATATGAGTAAGCGATCGATAAGACGTTATCGCAGAGGCGAAAGTAAGTAAAAAATAAAAAATAAAATTTTTCCCTTTAAGACTTCATTTTCAAGAAAATAGAGTTCGAATATGTTTAGTTAAGAATCGATCTGGTAGTTAAATAAGATAAATATGAAAATTTATTTTTTCGCAAACGAAGCGTCTTGAGAACAAATTTTACTACGCATTTTCCACTTATTTTCACACGTAGAACGACCTGCTGTTGATTATTTAGCTCTGTCTAGTGCGAAATTAACCACGTTCGAGTATACCCGATAAATTTTCAAACTCGATTTTCTCGTAAACTCAACCATAAATAAAAACATTTTATTACACATTTTATTCTTATTTTTTTATAAGAAATCACCTCGTACCCGTTTGTACGTGTTATGAGTTCCTTTGACATGCATACTAAATTGAATATTAAATTGACGTATAAAATATTATTACGAGCTAGTATTAATACGTATAAAATATTATTTCTGGAAGAGTTAAATTTAACAAATCCATGTCAGTCATTGAACTGTCTATCATCTTATGTTTGTTTAAAGTATAGTATGTTAGTTTTCTTCTGTTTGAAGCGTACATCGAAAGTATCGATTAAATTGTTATACTGTTTTCATAACTGTTGTTAGGTAGTTTTCATAAAATTACCATCCATCTCAAGGAATGTATCGCATGGTGGTGGAAAAATTCCTTTAAAATGACCATAGACGTATCTGGGTCGAAAAGGAAACAACTTGCGCTACAAATTATTTATATCGAATGTCAGGCTGATTTATAACAAAGATATTGTGACCTGGTGATATCGGCTATCGTGAATAATTCCTACGATTCTTTTACGAAGCTTTCAATTTAGAAAAAGTGACATGGAAATTATTGGAAACATCTTGGTGTAACGAGAATTTCATCTAGACGATTTTTCAATACGTACGTTGTTCTAACAGAAACCGACAAACCAAAGAATCTTCCGTTTAAAAATGAAAAAAATGAAAGTAAAAAGTCTGGAACTGAAAATTTGTATAAATTTAGAATAATCAAAGTACGTGGTTAATCGTTGAGAAAGCGCATCGAATAAGAAAAGAAAATTGCTCTTGTCGATTAAACTCGATATTCTAAAGGAACTGTGTACAATAGAAAATCTTATTTGAGACCACAACGATTCATCAATCTAACATAAACTTTCAATAAAACGATATTATCGACTTAAGAGTAAATGGACCGTTAAGAACATCGAGAAAGTATAACAATTGCGCTAATTTTAACACGTTTGAGAAATAAACGTTTCTAGAGAACCGGAATATAGAAATTACATGAAAACATCGACTATAGAGAAGGACGACAATTTGGCAAGTAATTGTACTCGGAAAATAGATGGAGATAAATCAAGTTCGCGTTTTTACGCTAAATGAGGTTCGTACGGTTTCGTGTAAAAAGGAGGCGTAAAACTTGTAGCGTGATCGTTAAGTGTCGCTGGCGGAAATTCGTGACATCGCCTTGGAACGTTGTATATATGTTCTTAAAACGAAACTGCTACAGTCGTACGCTTTTAGAAATACTTTAAAATTACCTGAAGGTAACGGCGCCGTCTCTTGGCGACATTTCCTTGTACGACATTGCAATCGCCGTGCTTGAAAACCACTCTTTTGCGTATCCGTCGCGAGCTGAATCTTGTTTGCCGGTATCTGAAAGCAGAAAGCAGCGTTGAGTACTTTGCGTATATTTAAAAGTCGAATTGCGACGTTAGTTAATTGTTTCGCTACTTCGATCTTACGAACATGCTTCTATAAACTACTAGATAATTATATAAAATGTTATATAACGCATTAGAAAACTCGAAATAATTAAGATGGATTAAACTATCTTTATTTTATTTTCGGATACGTAGTTTGCTTCGTTCCTTGGATTCGTCTTATCAGGAACCAAGTCCTTGTAGAACGTTAGATGATTACGTAAAGTATTATATAAAATATCCGAAAACTCGAGATAATCGAAACGTGGTACTTTATCTGTACTTTATTTTCAGATACGTACTTTGTTTCAGTAGAATCGAATTTATTAGGGACCAGGTCTTTGTAAAATATTAGACGATTATATAAAGTATTATATAAAATGTTGGACAAGCTCGTAATAGTCAAAACAAGGTGCTCCATCTCTATTGTATTTGCAGATATATACTTTGTTTTATTGAAACGTAACATATCGCTGACCAAATATTAAAACGACGCCTAAAGGTATAGACGCAATAACGTTGGAAAGTGCAAAATAATTTGCACGCTATTTTATCAAAGTACAAGGAAAATTATTAGAATACCTGACAAGTAGATGTTTTCCAGAACTTTGTTATATAAATCAGAGACACGAACAGACTTCTATTAAATTTCCTCGAGATTTCATAAAATTGTCAGGTGAAAATGAAAGAAAGAAATATCGAATTCTCTTTTACAACCCCGATATCGGAAAAAGACACAGTTCGACGATACGAGACAAACTAAAAAAAAAAAACTTGCGAATGAAAAGTTGACCCTGGATCAAGTTGGACAATTAGAAATTCGAACAGCGCGCTATTTCTGTTCTCCAAATTTCTCGCCAGAGACCGAGAACCTCTGTTCTATATCAGGCGCCGGTTTTCGAAGAAGGTCACTGACATCCTTCGTTCTTTTTTCGTCTACGTCGGATCGTTTCTACGCACACCTGATGGAAAGAAATCGCGTCCTAGAGGGTTGTGTTCCGCGCGAGACAGAAAACGAGACGTCCAGCTAAAAACCTCCCACGGCTTCTCTAAAGGCCGTTTAAAATGGTCGTACGGTCTGCTTCGAAATACACTGACGCTAATGCCAAAGGACATAATTTACCGCTGAACGCGTTTCCTACGCGCCGGGATGGCCCGATTTAGAGCAATCTGCCAGAAAATCGACAGACAAACGAGTCCTGATAGTCTTACGTCTCTACATGAATCACTACCTTCGTCCCTAATTGCGAGCAACTTTTAAAAGCATCGTCTTCTAACCAATAATTCGCACGTGATTACTATGAATCACAGCTTCGAAGAATTACACTTCCACTTAAGCCCGTCGCACTTGTTGAATTTTTAGTTCCTCTTTGCGTTCCGAAGAAGACAATTTTCATACCTTCGACGTCAGACCTTCGATCTCAAACATTTAGTATTGTACCGTAGGTAGAAGTTCACTCGTGTCTTCACTATATTATTAGCGTAACATCAACATGTTGACCGCTATGCAGTTAATTTAGTATGTGGGTTTTCCCCTGAGAGTCACGACAGATTGAAATATAATAACGTAACGTTTAATTTTTCTAAAGTATTTGATATTGTGTGTTCTAAGGTGTTACTGTTCGTGTTACCTCAGTTATCGGCATCGTCGAACGTTTCTAAGTTCTGGAAACTTATCGAATTTTAATCATTGTCAAATATTTGATACTATGGGCCGTCAATGAATACCAGTCGAAAGACAACGTGTTAAGGTTTATTGGTAAAACAACGAAGATATTTATTCGTTCACAATTTTTCTACAAATCGCGTAACGTAACGAAATCGTTTATTGCGCTGAATATTATTTTTACGCTCACGTTCTTCTTCAGCCAACGAATTACTCGGCTAATTATGCATCGAGGTAATCCAATTTTTATCTTAATAGCTTCGTTAATTACGCGTCCTTCGATAATCGTACTTTCTTATTAGTTAACAAATTTCTTCAAACTCGACGATACAAAAGGAACAGTCACTAACACGTGCAATTTCCATTTAAAGATTCTCGATCTTTCCTTCTATTCTTTAAACATTGGATATTTTGTTCTACGTTAGAATTAAAGAGATCGAAACATAATAAATTTGAGCAGGATGATAATACCTAGAATTGCATACAATAATCATCGGAGATTGAATTTTCAAAGTCTAAGTACGATTTGGTTATTCAGTTTCTCAGATTGCTTCCTCGAACAGAAGACAGCAAAGTCACCAAGAATATCGAATATTTTCGGCGGCGCATAGTTTTCATATTTTCATGGTTGTTTAGAAAACTGGCGTGTTCTCCCGTGGAATGTCTGTTTCGTATTCGAATCGGTACTTCGTCGTAGAAAATGAAACGCTTGAAGAAACGTTTATCGAATATCGTTTTACCGAATTCAATAATCTTACAGCAGCTGTTGTCATCTCGCAAACATCGGTAAATTCGATTGCTCCCTAAGTGGTCCTGGTCCCATAGGCTTTTTCGCCAACGTGAAAATAAGTATTACGAAATCTGATATCCAAATATTTGCTTGATCCTGTTTCATCCGAGTCACCGACGTTACGGTAAATATTTATCGAAATGTTCGTAGTGAACTACAATCTTAACAACAGGTATTGTTATATATTCTTTGTTCTTTTTTTCACGCTGAATTCCATTTTACAATCAGACTCTTCCACCAGCTATAGTTCCTATCTGATTATTGTATTATTATTTAATCGCTAAATTCATAGCACGTACTGTTGATCGTTTCATTGCCGGACTTTTAATTATTGTGATTAAATAATGGGAGAATTTATTGTAACATGACTTCTGTAAAGATTTATGCTGTGATATATCGTGACAGATCCCTTACATTTGTTACAAATCTTCTTAATTCTTTATGTCCCGAGTCATAAGGAATCTGAAATCTATCTTAAATATACAGGGTGGTTGGTAACTGGTGGTACAAGCGGAAAGGGGGATATTCTACGCGAAAAAGAAGTCGAAAATATAGAATAAAAATTTTTCGTTCACGGCTTTGTTTTCGAGAAAATCGACATTGAATTTTCGCTCGGTACGCGTGCACCTTATCACGTCTCGTTATAACGGATCTCACTGTAGATCGTTGTCTCGATGGAAAAATTAAAAAAAAAAAATTAAAAAAACAAATTTTTATTCTATATTTTCGACTTCTTTTTTCGCGTAGAATCACCAGTTACCAACCACCCTGTATAAGAATCTTTTCGATATATTTTTAAAACTTGTCTTCCGTCCGCAGAACATGCAGAGCGATTTCGTCAAAACTTTGAAAATATTTCGAATATGAAAAAGCAATATGACGATAAGTAGAGATCTAATAAGCTGATTGACTATTATCGAACATTTAAATAGGATGTTCCCCAAGCCAAATATTTCAGGAAGTCGATTATCCCTTTTTAACCATTCAAATTCTACGAAAAGAAAAGTATTAAAAAACGCAGACTATTTTCCATGCAAAGATTTGTAATGCAAATTCGCGCGTACTCTTTTGCCACTCGGATTGAAGCTACAACGTAACTTGCAAATATCATAATATAATAATATCTCTCGATAATATAATAATAATTCTCAGCTGTGCATCGTTAAAACGAACCAAGAGCAGTCTGAACAAGGCAAACTGATCGGTTGATCCTTCCTAAAGTTAACTTCAAGCATTTTGCTAAAAATACACCGATTCCGATTCTATCTCCGTGAAAAGTCATCTTTGCTCACGGTACAGGCCTATTCTATTCGCAGATCTCGTTCGTCGAACGTCAATAACATTCGTATTGCGAAGAAATCGATAGGTTTCAGACATATTAAAATCGATTGTAATCCGAATGATAAAGATTCATTTGATTTTGAGCGATCGATAAAGAAACGATCATCGAGAGATGTCATTCTAAGAAGAAGATTTATAGCAAGTTTTGGCAGAGAATTGGACGATCGGAGACAAAGTGGATGTTTCAAGTGGATATCAAAGTTAAGCTAGATACATTAAAATTCTGACGTTAGCTGAAATACAGCGTAGAGTACGCAATTTGGCAACTGATAGCGTCTCGGTATAAACGAATGCTCCCTGTGACGAACGAGGAACACGGTTCGCTATAACGTTCGATGATGCCGTAGAAAAGAAATAGAAGATCTCAGAATATCGAGGTGATACTAGATTTTATAATTAGAGCGATATTTCGGTGTTATAAATACTAACGCGGAACCCTACCGATACTGATCAAATCAAGACATCTTCAATGCTAGTCTCGGTAGCTTTTAGAACTTAATTCTGGTCAGGTTTGAAAGTTTCAAGCCTGTATTCAGGCCGGTCAAAAATGTACAACTTCGAGCTAGAAACGTTTACAGACTCTTAAATATTAATATTAAACGTTAAAATTTTCAACAGTCGGATACGTTTAAAAGTTTAAGAAACTTCAACCGGGAACGTTTGAAAATTAAACAATTCTAACTTGAGAACGCTGGGGAATCTAGAAGTTTGAATTCAAAGTGTTCAGAAATGAAAATTTTGTTATTTAATGCGTTCGGAAATTTGAACATTCGAAATTGAAGCGTTCAAAAAGTCCGAAATATGGATTCAAAATATTTATAAATTGCAACATTTTTGATTGGAAGCGCTCGGAGAAATAAAAATTTTGATTGGAAGCGTGAGAAAATTCGCAAAGTTGTACGCAAATCGCTCAGAAGCTCCAAAATATAGAGTCGAGACGCTTAAAAATCGAAAACTTTGTTATTCAAAGCGCCGAATACTTCGCAAAGTCAAATTCAAAGCGTCCAGGAATTCGCAAAGTTGAATTCAAAGCGAAAACGCCAAAAATTCTCATTCGAAGCGTCAGAAAATTCGCGAATTTCAATTCAGGTCGTCGAAAACGACTTAAAATTCCTACGAATGTTGCTCGAATTCTCCGCGTTCTGTCCATTCCTCGGTATATTTACCAAAAATGGATCTTGCGACGTTTCCAAATCCGAGCTAGCTGTCACGGAGAACCGCGAGTTCCTCGAACTTGAAAATTCGAACTGGCCAAGTAATTCGAACTAATTTTAAGTTACTCGACGTAATTAAGCAACATTCGCGACCGTGTAACGCGAATGGGGAAGAACCCGCGTCCGCGGCTATCCAGAGTTTCCGGGGTGATGTTGTGAATTCCAGGGACAGTAGCCAGACGACAGGCGCGTGTATTTCTGATCGAATCAGCCAGAAATAAGCAGACGATGGTGCGGAACTCGGAAAATTCGTTCAGCCAGACAGAATCGAAATTTAGGAACAGTGTTTACATAGACGCGTTGCGTAGCCACGGATTATTGAAATCTAGAAACTCGTACGAAAAGCGTTAAGGTTGTTGGCAATGTCCACATGATCTCTTTGAACTTGTCTCTTTTCCCTCGCCCCTGATACACTTCGCCACGAGTCAGGCGATTTTCTTCGTCGAACCGACGCGTCGCGTCCGCCCGACGTCAGAGTTGATACTTGGACGTGGACGCCGAGTGGTAGACAGGATGTTTGTCTTTCGGATGTAGGAAGATGATGAGAGAGCTTCGTTTGCTTTGTTATCGTACATTAATAGAGGTGTCTCTAATGTTAGGAATATCACAGTTCAGCGTCTTTCTTAACGCTGGAACTGTTGGTGATTAAATGTGAATAGAAATTCAATTATTTAAATATGGAAATTCAATGTGTCGAAGAAATATTAAGATGAAAAACGGAAGGAAAAGAAAGGGAGCTTTTACTCAGACACTTAGTCGAAAATAAAAGATGCAATTTTATGCGAAATATTCTTCCTGAAGCGAATTGAAAATTTCTGAATTGCATTGAAAAATGACGAGCCGGTTATTTTCACCATTTCCGATTCATTCCTCTTCGTCCATTTAATACATGTATTCGTTTTATGTATATTTAAAAGTAATCGTTGAAAAATAATTTACCATTATTTAATTATACTTTTTAATGGAAATTGTTCCTTTGTTAATGGTTTAAAACGATATGACTATTTAAAAAGGCTTAACATAACAAACTTGTCGTTATTCGTCAATTTCTGATGAAGATTTTCATAGAATGAATTTTCGGAGGATTCTCTATATTTCTTTTTCTCAGTTCATTTTTCTCTTTTGAAGATTTTTTCGAAGAATAGAAATATCTTCATGGATGAGAGATCGGAATCGACAATTATGGTTTATCGACTAGTTTAAGTGGTTAGCTAGGTCTTCCAACTTCCGCAGACGAACGAGAAAGCGTATAACCCGATAGATTCGGACTTTTGGTACTGGTTTTCTCGAAGAGACCTAGACCGCGGTTCGATTTGGCTTGGTCCGTTCGTCTGGCAAACGACGTTCTAAATTCGTGTGCTTCGGTTCAGTTTCAACCCTGACATATTGACCCGAGATGAAAATAGATCAAGACTTCCACACCTGTTCGGGTTACTGTTACTGACGAAGCTGGAAAGTCGGAGAGATTTTTTCCCTTCGAGAGGAACCTGTCCGCTTTAACGAATCCTGGGGAAAACTTGATAATTTGAAACTTCATAACCTTTGACTCTGACGCTCGTGGAGGATTCGCGAGATAATTACTCGAAGGCAATTGTGTGCTCTGCTTACTTTCTTCCTTAGCTTTTTCACCAAAAATCTACTAGAATTTTACTAGCCGAGGTGTCTGCAATTAGCGATGCAATTGGCAGTGACCCTGCGTGAAAAAGTATTTGAAAAACTGTTGAAAGTATTTTCCACTCTATCCTTTATTTTACTGAATTTTACACCTGATGAGATTTCTTTTATCAGAAGGTAATAATCTGTCGTGTATAAATATTCCGTTTAATTCCTATGTTGTCGATCGTCAAATGCGATAAGTGAAGTTGCTGTTAAATTGTTTATTAAACGCAGAGGTAAATGTCAACCTGAAGGAACGACGATTATCAGGGACAGTAACTAGATGCAGAAGAATTGGATAAATATTTCGAGTAAACTTGATCAAACACGGATCCTCCTCGATTGAGAAAATTGTATCCTACATCCTCGACGTATTTATTCGCGTACAGTCGCCTTTCTGCCCGATTGAATCAACAGTTACACCCTATATCATATACTTCATAGCTTGGAAAACGAATCTCGTTAGGTAGTTGGATGTTTGCGTCCAATTTTCTATGAGTCTGTTAATATTAAGGGTTTATAAAAGAGGATATGAACATTTCACAGGTAATTGATTGGTAAAACGATCGATTAGGAAATAGAGAGTTTACAACGACGTTTCGAAAGGCCGACCCACGCGGTTCGTAAAACGGAACGATTTAGAGCAGACGAGAAAGTGCCTGTGATTATGATAACTAGCCGCAATAAACCTAATGATATAAACCGTTCAGAGAGATTGTTGTTTAAAGAACGTTACTTACGAGATGGTACGAGCCTTAACTCGACTATTGGAAGTCGTCCTTGATTCAGACTCTTTCATCTTGGTCCGAAACGCTACACCAGATGATGATGATCGTTGTACCTATACTGTTTTCAGCGTTATCCGATATTTTATGCATTGCAGCCATTTAGTATTTTTATGCTAAGTGCACTTTGTGCTTAGATGCAGGAAAGCAACGCTTGCCACCACGGAAGACTAGATTAGAATTTTTGCGTTCAATTTGCATCGACATAGCTACTGTTCAGCGACTCTTCCGCATTTTTATGAAACAGTCTACGAATCAATATCGAAACACGATCTTATGAAGACGGATAATGTGCGATGTTACTTACACGGTGTTGTCGTAACTCTTTGTTGGAAATACAGTCAATCTCGAAGGTGCTTCGTGCATACTATAAAAATACGTGTTTTCATTAGGACAAATCGTATTCTCGTTGCAATAAGTGTTTTATAACGAAACGTACGTTATTCCATAAAGATATTTCAAAACAGATCTGAAGGAAAAGAATTGCATTCGAACGATCTTATTATTTCGATTGGTAGGTTTCAATATTTCGTGGAGATTTTGCTTTGTGCTTGAAACTAACTCCGAAGTTAGTTTCTCTGGCAAAAAATAATTTGCACCTTGCGGTGAAACTTGGAATTCCATTCCGATCGATTTAACGTCACTATAATACGACGCAGACGAAGACTTTCGTGATTGACCGTATTTTTGAACTTTTCCCAACAGATTCTTTGATATCATAAGATCATTATAATAAGAAAATAGACTTTTTTAATGTATCCAGTTTTTTCAATGAATATGATCACTCTTATGTAATAAAACGTGCAATAGAAGCGACATACTTCTGCAATTCTTCCCTCCAAGCAGCTTCCCCTGACGTGGTCGCCTTAACGACCAGCATCGACACTTGAGACAACGCTCTCCGTAGGCCGGATAACGCCATTCCCTCGCCCAAGTGGATCTTTCCGGATCCCGAGGAACTCGGTGAAAGTGTTTTTAACGTCGATCCATCCATTCTTTCTCTTCTTCTGCTTTTCTCTCTTCAAAGGACACACCGGATTTTTATCTCTCACTCTATTCGTGCAGATAATTATTTTAACTGGTCATCATTGACCGATCGATCGGATTAAATATCATCTTTCTCTCTTTTTTCCTCTCTTTCTTTGCTTTGCAACGTGACAACGAAAGGTCGGTGATCGGTAAAAATAAATGCTTGTAGATCTAGCCACACGCGTGGACTTTGCTATCTTATTTAGTGCCAGCTACTCGCGATATGTGTTATAAATAAAAAAAAAAAAAAAAAAAAAAAGTCACTATAATACGACGCAGACGAAGACTTTCGTGATTGACCGTATTTTTGAACTTTTCCCAACAGATTCTTTGATATCATAAGATCATTATAATAAGAAAATAGACTTTTTTAATGTATCCAGTTTTTTCAATGAATATGATCACTCTTATGTAATAAAACGTGCAATAGAAGCGACATACTTCTGCAATTCTTCCCTCCAAGCAGCTTCCCCTGACGTGGTCGCCTTAACGACCAGCATCGACACTTGAGACAACGCTCTCCGTAGGCCGGATAACGCCATTCCCTCGCCCAAGTGGATCTTTCCGGATCCCGAGGAACTCGGTGAAAGTGTTTTTAACGTCGATCCATCCATTCTTTCTCTTCTTCTGCTTTTCTCTCTTCAAAGGACACACCGGATTTTTATCTCTCACTCTATTCGTGCAGATAATTATTTTAACTGGTCATCATTGACCGATCGATCGGATTAAATATCATCTTTCTCTCTTTTTTCCTCTCTTTCTTTGCTTTGCAACGTGACAACGAAAGGTCGGTGATCGGTAAAAATAAATGCTTGTAGATCTAGCCACACGCGTGGACTTTGCTATCTTATTTAGTGCCAGCTACTCGCGATATGTGTTATAAAAAAAAAAAAAAAAAAAAAAAAGAAAGACTACGAAGACACAGAAAAAATCTGTGTTTCTCGAACAACGACTCAGTGTTGAGCACGCTTAGAATCCAACTCGTATTTCGACCCGAGTTGCAGCGGAATTTCGGCGTCTAAGTTTAAGCCACCTTCGAGCGGGGGGCCGAGAACCGCACCAGCGGATGCTCTTAAAGCACAACGAATAAAGAACTCATCGTCAGAGCCAAATATCGCAGCCTGTCCAGAGCCATTGGAAAATCCAGATCAATCGTTTGCACCACATCCGCTTCTCGATCTTGCCGCGTTTTCTCTGCCCTGTGACCCCTTCGAATCACATCCTCCGATCTTTTCGATATTCCCGCGCACACTCGCTTCTATGTTCACTTCACTATGTCACTTTCACTCACAATAAAATCTCCAAATCGTTCACTTCACACCGATTTCCCTTATATTTTATCCTGGTGTTTCTTAAACAAATTCGCCACTGTTCGTTCTCATCTTTTATCGCGAGAAGGGAGGAACTCGTTTTCTGGTGGGAAAATGAAAAAGAAAAGAAATTTCTGGAGTAACTTTCACGAGGCAACGGGGCACTGATTTACGCACTTTGCCGGACTATTTATAAGAACGTCGCGTCACCGGGTGAAATCATTGAAAAAAATCCAAGGTAGCGCGGAAGAAGAAGAAGAGGGAAAGGGGCGCTGGCGATCGTCGACTAAAGTTGCTGAGGGTGTTCGTCCAATTATCGAGTACGTTAACGAACCGAGGCTCAGCCGACACTGAAACGATTCTACTTCGACCCTTGCTCTTGGCGATTTCCCTTTTGTCTTCGCGCTAGCCAATTTGGCAACGTACGGAGAATCCGTAAGATTCGTTCCATTCGCTAGAGATGGAGCCTCGATGACAAGAGACACCGCACCGAAACAAGTCGTTGCACCGGTGCATCATTTATATTTGTCGAAACGTCTCTTCATCAAGCTTTCGGATAAGCTTTTCGCCATTGGCGATGCCGATACGTTTTCATGACCGTGCAGATTTAAGGGTTCTGTTTAATTGAAATGGACTGGGAATATTTATGCATTTATGACACGTTTAATTGATGCACGAGTTCAGTACTTTAACGAAATTAAAGCAGCAAATTAAAGTAGTAGATGACAAGCAGTAGATTTAATCAGTTAGCTGTTGCCACCTGTTTGAAAAGTGTGTGCCTAAATATTATTAGACTAATATTATTTATATAGATTAAAAATTATTAAACTACATATCGTACACTATATAAAGCTTTTTAATAATAATAGGTATAATAAGTAACAAGTAGTAAATACAAGTAATGCATCATACAGTAATAAATGCAAATAATAAGCAACACGTACTAAATACAAATAATGAATATAATAAATAACAAATATAAGTACTAAATTGACTTTGATAAAATTGATCTCGTACAGTGATAAGTACAAATACTAAGCAACAAGTACTAAATACAAATAACGAGTAACAAATAATAAATACAATTGGTAAATTGATTTTGTATGTGATTGATTGGTAAATGGTAAATTGATTTGACAAAATTGATCTTGTGCGTTGCACAGTGATAAGTATAGATATTAACTAACCATTAGTTAATACAAATAACGAGTAATAAGTAATAAATTGATTTTGTGCTTTGTGTGTAATGTAGGCATCGATAAACAAGTAACAAATAATAAATCGGTTTTGATGAAATTCATTTTGTAGATTGTATCCTCCTTATAAAAATATAAGAAGAGACATGTTTTCAACTATCGACAACTGACCTGCTTAAACAGATCCGCTTCGTAAATCGGTATAAATGAAATGCAACAGGAGGAACAGAAATTGTTCTACTAAAGGATTAGCCGAGTAAATGGATTAGATTTTTCAGGTTTCACGTAAGAACTAGTTGAACTCGAGACATTTACCACACCCCATCTGTTTCTCTAAGATAGTAGTTCCGTTAGAAAGAAGGAATTCAAAGTCAGTAAAATATGGACAGAAGCTATGGACTTAAGTATGGAAACTTTCACACATCAATTAAAACGGATGCGAATTCCGTGCAATAATTCTTGTAGATAGATCTGCCACTATAATCAAGAACGCTAAATAGACCTAAATTAATAATCGATAAATGCTATTACGTACCGTAACCTATTGTATACCGAAATCCATTCTTCGATCAGGACCAAGGCCACCAAATGTGCAAATATCGTCGGACCTGTGATAATTCAAAGCAACTGTCAAAATTTAGCACCGACTTTACCGTTAAGGCCGATACAATAATCCATAATATACGTATAAAAAAAGATCTCCTGTTGTAGCATGGAACACAGCATCTTTTCAGTCAAATTTCGTAGCCTCTTCGATCTAGTTATATTCAATTGAAGACGGAATTTTTTTTTATCACGAGGCCAACTACATTAAATGCGTATTATACTTTTCACGTTATATAAATTATCCATTTCTGAAGATTTACATTTCTCATAAACTCACAAACATTTTCGTCTAATAATTCCTCTGCCATCATAAAGGAGTGAACAATCAACATTTCTGACCAACAAAAACAAACTGGCTCTTTGTATGCAATACAGTGCGATTAATCTTCAAAGATCGAACAAAACCATTCGTACGACGCGAGGGCGGAGTAAGAAACCGTATGGTACCGATACGTTGCTTAACAAACATCTCGATTAACCTCAAGCGAAACGTCGTGGTTTTTATGGTGCGCGCGTACGCGGCCAACGACGCCGGCGTCAGGATTATCTGTTTGAGGCGTCTTCCGCAATTAGACGGTTCTATTCTCGTCCCGAAAAGCAGGATTTCTGCCGATCGTGGCAGGGAAACGGGAACGACGCTATTTTCGCGGGGTCGCGAGCCACGTATTGTGATCCAGTTTTCACGACGAACGACGACGCGTCGCGTCGCGTGTATTTTCGACGGCGCCGCCGAAAATCGCGTTGCGTCTTCCACACGCAATTATCGCTATTCTCCGATGGATCCTCGGAAGATCGGTTCCAGATGGATTCCCCGCTGCCTTCGATGGCCGTGTGAATTATTTTTGTTTTTGCCACGTTCGAGTTTCGTGACGTTAAAAGCGGAACGTTTCTAATGTGCAATAAGTTATCCGTGCCTTGGAGGATTCAACGAGAAGATTATCGTAAAGAATACAATTCAACAGAATTTGAATAGAATTTCAATAGTTTTCAAACTATCAAATTATTCAAGAAAATTATTCAAATTAGATGTTCTTACAAGTTTTCTAAGTTGTACAATTTATGGTGCTGACCTCATAGAGAGGCTAATTAATAATACCACAAGTGCTCAATGGATTCGTTCTAAAATAAGATTAGGAAGAATAGATTGCCCGGCCATAAAATCCATAGTAAGAAGGAAAACACCAGTTCAACCAATTAATTGCAACCTAACTTATCGCCACCTGTTTGAGAATTCGCATTATATGTTTTGGCTTAAAATTTAAGGGCTACTTATATTCTTTTCTATTGCTAATGAAAGGACGCAATGGTCGAATATTTTCTAAATACGTTTTTGGAAAATTTCATCGAAACATATTTATTAAAACATATTTGTTGAAACATTTTATTAAACATAGAAAAATATTTCTTGTTAGTGCGTGCATTCTCTGAGTGACCTCTGAATAATTTCTACGTTTTACTCGACGCTAGAACTAGGCACGGCCAACGTGTAAAACTTGTATCGTTCGGATCAAATGGAGAAGTGTACGAACGAAATCTGTAACACGAAGAAAGGAACAAGCTTCGTTTACAGTTATACACTGTAGAATTTTTATGAAATATTACGAATTAGTTATTTAGACCGTCTCAGGCTTTGTATTGTTACATAAGTTTGTTTACTATTCAAATCTGTGAAAAAAGTCCACTTAAAATCTGTAAAATGTCTATGAAGAATTATGGACCGATCGTTTCTATTATTCTAGTGGTTCTAGCTTTTTATCAGTTTTTAGTTCCCCTTTTGTTTCACCATCTTTTTGATATCTTGCAAAAATTTCTTTTGCGTCGAATCGCACAAGCAGTTTGGTTTCTCCGAATATTTCGCGATTCCAACAGAGGAAGGACGAGATTATCGTAAAGAGACCTCGCTAACTGCATCGTTGAAAGTTACGATATTGCTCGCCAAGCTCTCATCCACCTATATCTCTCGTGCAAATAGTAAAGGTATACTTACAGAAAATGGAGAAAAACGGGAATTCTCGGTTTTCTTAAAAACCCCTGCGTTTCCATATTTCGAGTTTGACCAGGAAATACGTATGTGTACCTTCCTTTGAGACACTTGCGATTTTACGTTTTTACTGTCAACGTGAATAGGTAGACGTGGTTACAAGTATAACGAACATTGACCAATCGTCGTAAGTTTTGCAATTTTTCGTTAAATTAAGTAATTAAGATAAATATCGTTATTCCTATTTCGCTTAAATAGCTGGTAGAGAATAGTTTAAGTATGTAGGCCCAAGTTCAGTGCCGGATGTATAGATATGTACAAATCTCCGCATATATACGAAAAGATATTTTTAACGTTCTTCGTACTCTTGCAACAATTTCATGCAACGTTATTTTTCAACTATATCACTCGAAGCGGAACGTAGACACACGTACGAGGAAGAAAAATTAGAAAATTCGTTTGTTCGAGGGAGGACCTCCTCTTCGAAGCTAATTCAAATTATGAATTAATTTCCTACAAAATTATACACCAACCATAAATAAATACGTATTATCGAAACATTTTAAAACGCATGAACGATACAAAAGTTAAAAAATCCATCTGGCCAGTAGAGGTTCAATTTTTGTCTTCGGACCGGTCCAAGCTATAAATTTCGTTCTGTATTATTTAAAAAATCTCATAAACTAGAATATATACATGGAAAGAAGTTAAGAAGTCCACCTGCTCGGTGGAGCACTACTATTTCCCTTGGAACTGATCCAAGTTACCAACTAATTTCATACATAATATTATCCTTCAGTCGTATAATTTAAATATTCTTACGATATATACACGTTTAACATATATAATAATAAAATCTATAATATAATAATATTAACAATAATGATAGTATAATATATCTGTATATCAGGGAGTAAGAGATAAATAAAAAAGAAATATAGAAAATGACCTGCTCAGTAAAGGGCCGGTCTCCCCCTTGAAGCTGATCCTGCTGAATGTCCTTCTCTGAAAGTTGCTGAGAATGCCGCGTTTCTGCTTCTCGTTGTTGCCTCTTCCGGCCTCGTCCGTGGAGTCATCGCACACTTTTATTGCAACCGCGGTCGTAGGAACCGTCGAGTTCACCAATAACTCGTCCAGTGGCACTGTGTTGTTGTCGGTGGCGATCGTATGCTCGTCCGATTCCTCGTTGGTTCCTTCTTTCGTCAGAGAACCCTTTTCAGTCATGAGCATTTCGTTCAACGATCTCGATTTCCCTCCCGTGTCTCTTTTCTTCTCCTATTCAGAGTTTCTTCGCCAAATTCACCGACGCGATACAAAGAAGAATTTCATGCCGCGTTCGAACAGAATCTCCAGAAACCGTCGGCTCCTCTGTCTAAGCACTGGTTTCCACGATATTCAAAGAGGCCGCAGAGATCTTCGGCGGCTCTATTGAAACGCCGTATCCCGGAAAAAGTCAAAGAGGCTCTAGAAAGCATCGATCCTTTTGTTAAAGCGCCGAATCTCACAAAGCTCAATGAGGATGATAGAAATTTCCGATTCTTCCGTTTGAACACTGACTCCGCGATGTTCAGAGATGCTGCGTGGATCTTTGACTTCTCTGTTGGAACGCTCTGTATAAATTCAAAGAGAATCTAGAAACCATCGGTCCTTGCGCGAAGAGAAATTGAAAATTCAAATCTAGAAATTTCCGACTCTTTTAATTATCCACGATATTCGAAATTTAGAAATCGACGATCCTTTTGTCAAGGCGCTGACTGATCGACGATCGTGTCGTATCAACGGCGACGAGAATCTTCTTTTTCGAATTTGGAAATCTGTCGAACCACTGGACCCGACCACGTCCGAAACGAATCCAGGAATGGGCAACTCGTTTTACCAATTAATTTTGTCTCTTTCGCAAACGTTTCTCGCTTATCCTTTGCCACATCATCGTACGAGAACCTCAGCGAAGATTTAGAGTGACAGATTTTTGAACACCATTGAACGACGAGATACGAGACGGTTGTTATCCGTGATCATGAGGTTTCTAGAATGATTTTTGTCGCCAGCGTGACTGATTCATAGATTGTAAATCGAACGATAATCCGAAACACGTTCCTCAACGACTAGCACCATCGCGTTGTACGTCAATTGAATTTACGATTCGCCACGAACGCCACTCACCTCTTCCCAGCGAAATCATTTCCAGTCATTTTTCTATTTCATAACCATATTTCCTGAGTACGACGTATATATACAATTTTCTATCGTCAAACCGGTCAGCACCGTCAATTATATTTGTTGGGTATAGAATAGAACCATCGATAACACCATCGTACTGTCGCACAGGTTCGTTGTACAATTACGTTTTAAAGCAACGTTCTTTCATTTGCAATGCAAAACGAACACTTTTTAGATTCACAGTAGTGTCCCGAGTTTCACGGCCACGTTAAAACGTCGTACGATTTCTCGTACAACCGCGACCGTATATACATACGCTATCATTTATTCTCGTCCCGTTTCGTCATCCTTATCACTGTTCCGCATCCGTCGACCACGATCACCATGATAATAAAGTTGCTATTCACATTTGCGTGGCAATATTTTGACGAATAAGAAAGGGAAATTAATTTCCGTTGCCGGCTCTGTGCGATTAAGTTTTGCTGTAGATACTTACATGTGCTGTTCGTCGCAAGTGAACGATGAAACACAGAGAACAAGAACCGTTCCTCGACACGACGATTCTCAGATCGACGAAGTAAGAGAAATTTAATTAACTTGCGTACACCGACTAATGTATCAAGTTCCGAGGATAATGTGCGTAATCGAAGTTTCTTCGACGAAGATAGCACTTTGGCTCGCAACTAACGAAACGAGTAACAAAAGCACTTGCGCAACGATCCTCGGCTTGATAAGAGAAAAAGCCTCTAATTTTACTAATTCACTGTCCTACAATGTATTAAGTTTCACTTTGAATAGTTATACAACCGGTCCGAGGTACCTCTTCGTCACGACTCAACGATAGCACGTTGGTTTAGAGCAAACGAAGCGAGCAACAAGCGTATTTGTCCAGTTGTCGGCGTTTCCGTGCGCAGATTGCACGCTATTTCCAGCAACCGGGTACACGGGGCCGGCTCGCGATCATCCTCGTTCCGAGGATCATTCATAATTCTTCGCGACGGGTTCTCCTCTCCTTCTCTGCTCTAACGTTCGCCTAAGCACCGGCAAAGTGTGCACCACGTCCTGCACGCGTTGCATAAGAATTTCCTCGCGAGTCACGCGGTTTCGTATCGACGAACGCGATCGTTTCGCCTTCCTCACGGGTTTTATGATGTTCGAAGTGGATCTAGAAATCCTCCTCGACCACTGGATTACGCGATATTTCAACGAGATATAGAAACGAACAATTTTTCCAACCACTGGATTTTCTATCCGCTGGTCGTACGTTCGAAGTGAATCCGCGAATTGTCGAAGTTTTTGTCAAAATATCGGACAGTCGGATCTTGCTTCTTGACAATGACGATCATTCTTCTAGTTCAGTTGAATTTCACGTTGAGAATAATTTAGAAGCAGTATCTCGATGATATTCAAGAATCATCTAGACATCTGTGATCTCTTTTTAGAAGCGCCACAGTGTTGGAAGAAGATCTAGAAATCAACGATCCCTTTTTCCAAGCGCTGCACGTCACTAGTCTTCGGAAAGAATTTAGAACTCGATAATTTGTCTATCCGAGCGACGTTCTAATCGAAAGAGGATCTAGAGATCGACGATTCGTTCTTTTAGACGTGAGATTCCACGATGTTGAAAAAGCACCCAGAGATCGAAAATCCCATCTTCGAGGCGCTGGGTTCCGCGATGTCCGACGCGAGTCCAGAAATTTTCCAGCCTACTATCCAAGTTCAAAGAGGATCGAGAAATCGTCGAGGCGCTGAATTCAGGATCCACGAACTCGTCGATCAATTCCACAATGTTCCAAGAACGTTCCCTCCTCTTCGATTCTCCTGTCTGGTTTCCACCAATATTCGCCAAGCATCGAAAAATCCTCGATCTGCCTGCCAAAGCGTCGAATTGCACAAAGTCGAAGGAGGATCTAGAAATCATCGATCCCTCCTCTGTCGAGGCACCGAGTTCCAAAAGGTTTCAAGAGCATCCAGAAGTCGTGGATCCTTGCGTGGAGGCGCGTCCGATTGCACGATGTTTCGAACGAACCGGAAAATCCTTCGAAGCGCGAAAGTTAGACGAGGTACGAGGAGGATCTAGAAATCGTGGATCCTCTGTTCGAAGCACTGACCGATCGGTGGCTCGTGGTCGGCGAAAACTCGCTCGGAACCTGTCAACGCGAGAACCACTTCTGAGATTGCGTGCGCCGCGGTATAAGCGAAAATAATCCACGCACACGCGCGCGCGCGGGCGCGCGCGTTTGCACACCCACACTAGCCAAGTAGAATGTGTTTTAAGACGGTGTGGCCGAACGTGTACGCTACTTTACGAGCATTGTTCAATGTGTCACGTGAACGTGTGGAAAGGTAGGCGCGAGCGCGCCTATCAAACTGTGAACGTATATATTTAGATGTGTTTATGCGTGTGTATGTGAGAAAATACGTCACACTGATACGCGTGCCGCATGGAAATAGAGCCGTGTGCGAATGTACTGCTAGTAGAAGAACTTGACATGTGGGCAGAGCTACAGATAAGATTATATGAAGCCGCTCTAGCCAACGTTTTCGACCTGGATTTTTATTGCAATTTTTATATTATTCGTATTGCGTGTAGGTTCGCTTTTCCAAGTTTCGTCGGTGTATGCGTCGTTACGTACAACGATGTGAGATTGAATTCTATTTTGTCGTGCAATAGATACACTGTGCCACTCAAGGTACGACGAAAATCGAGAAAATATCACCCTCGAGGTTGAAAATTTGCCGAGTATATACGAATTCACCTAATTCCCAAATAGACGGAGTATAATTGACAAGGAGGTTGTTCTATATCCGAAAATAAGTCGGAAACGTGTGGTACAATTTTTTCGTCCGAGGCTTCGTTTCCGAGAAAATGAAATTTTCAAACGGTATATACCGCTGTTTTCTTTAAGACGAGGCCACAAGAGAAAAAGTTGTACTCTACATTTTTATATTTAGAGTAACCTTCGGCCAATCGTCCACCTCTTATCGGTCTACAATCAGCAAAAAATACATAGGTATACTTAACAAAGTGTACTTAATATACTTGTCAAATGTGATCACCTAATGCATGAAACCTCGAGCGTAATTTTGTTATCCTTCGTTTTATTTCGTTTCACAGAATCCCCTCTGAACTTCTCTTACGCCGCAAACGTTAAAAATATACACAACGAAGCATCATCAACGACGATACAAATGAAATGAAGAAATTGCGATGGAGAGCCACGTCAAAGGCTTAATTCTAGCAGAATATCTTCGACTTTAATCAGGAATTTAGGTCCACGATGTATACGAGTTTCGAGGTTCACGACAGCTTCAGATTGTAGGTTTCTACGTATAAGAGGCGATCCTGGTAGTCGGTGCGTGGGTATTGCTGGCAAGAACAATTGGATTGTTGTAAGAGGATATTTTTATAGCTTTATGCACGGCATTTTTAATACGGATGAATAGGAAATGGGAAGTGGCGGTGAGGGTCGGTAGTGGGAATTCTGGAAAATGGCTTCTATACGCGCAACTCTGAGATTGGCCTTTGTTTGATGACCGGGGAAAATCGGTAGCTGTGAAACCGTTTTGCTTGTTACAACAAGCAACTTTGCGCACTCCTATACGCCTCTAGTTAACACGTGCGCTCTCACAGCTACGAGCTTTGTTGATCCGCTACGTTTTCTTGGTAAACAGCTCTAGAAGGAAAGCGTATCGGCGGGAAATTTTTAAATAATATCATGGAAATATAACGCATATTTCGCAAAGAAATCATTCACAGGCTCGATTGTATTTAGTTTCTCGCCACCAGCTATTTTCCCCGCTCGTTTACATAATTACTCGCTCACGCTAGCAATGACCCATATCGTTTCCGCTCTATGAACAGTTTCCTCAGTTTCGTTCATTTCTACGATAAAGAGAAATCTCTGGAAATAAATTGGAAATGTTCAGATTGCGATAATCCGGCTAAGTTAATTATAGGAGAAATCGAATGGTGCGTTTGTCGAAGTTCTTCGCTAATTTCCATGCGATTGGCGGCGAAAATAGAAAAAGAAGCGCTATATACGCCTTCTTGTTCGCCAACACGTCAGTACGTGTCACACTACATTCTCCTGACTGGCGTAAGCGGCACAAGTGGCTTTATACATACATATGTATGCAATGTAAATAAGCGTGTACGTAATGTAAGCGGCGCGCAAAAATACCCGTAATACTAAATTATCGGTACAAGCGGTAGCGAACTGCGTTGCCGATAAATCTGCACTTATTTTAATTAATCCCGTTAAAGAACGTGAAAGTCTTGCCACATTGCCAACACCGTGTACCCAGTCGAAGCGTCTTAGGTGCCGATTGGAATTTAATTTAGACGAAAATACAAAGTTATTCGTTCGTGTAACCGTGTTCTGTTCCCTTTTTAACAGACAGTCCAAACAGAATTTATTATCGACGTTGTATCGCCGCTTCTATTATTTCTTTCCTGCTACCTGTTAAATTCGTAAGCGTTATTATATCTTGCATTTTAATCTACGATTTCGAACGGTTGTATAAGTCTTGTATAAGTCTAAGGTTGTGTGAGTCTCTTTTATTTTTTGATGGGGAACTGGTTACACGTCCTGGAATCTCATAAACGGAACGAGTTGGATAAATAGCAATAGAAGGCACGAGTCCTCGAGCAAAGATCCACGACTCGAGATGTTCGTTATTTTTGTTGCAATTATAAAGATAAATATTCATCAAGCCGCTTTCGTACACGTGCCGCCATCTGGGGAAATGCAATAAACATTTGCAGATGGCGCTGCGATAGCTTTTAGAATTTGAAGCAGTTCGAATTCGCGGTTTCGTAGTCGGAATAAAGCTTCTTACGAAAAAAGCACGAGTTATTACGAAACATTAACGAAGTGGTTTGCAATTGTGACAAATTGTTAATCTATAGATAGAAGAAACACATAAGTAACTTTGAAACAACGAAAATTTCCAGGAATAATACATAGGTGTGTAACACTTACGTATATATATGTACATTTATCTTCGTTGTAGCCTATTTCGATTATATAGTAATTGGAAGAGATTCAAAATTGCAAGACGAGATTAATGAATAGCCGATTAAATTAACATAAGGATTTATTGTCTAAAATTTCATCATTTTATATGTACATAGATATATACAGTATTTTATACAGTATTCTTAGTCTTTAGTGATATTTTTAAATCTGAGTTCCATGGAAAGAAACGCTTTCATGTTAGGATCTTGTACTTTGTCGATGATTAATTTTTGCACGTCCACTTCGCTTTCTTCAAGTACCGCGCTTAATTTTTCTGCGTATTGAATCCATACGCAATTTGCGCATCCGGACATACAACAATTTGTGGGTTCCGTCAAGTCGTCTATCGACGAGACACTATTATCTTCGTTCTTTTCTTTTTCTTCGGATGATAACACTGATGGTGTTCCATTGATATATTTTTTGGATATGGAATATATTTGTTGACAATTACATTTTTGGTTTCTGGCTATTGATCGAAAAGGTCGAGCTAGGTTCATTCCTGTTAAGATTCTACCTTGTAGATATAACTAGTTGTAAAAAAAGGAATACGTAATAAGTATTTAATGATAGAATCGATGTTAGTTGTGTAGTTAGCATTAACGATATACAATAAAATGTTTTAATGCGATAAATTATTAAATAAATTTGTAAATGGTTGATCGAAATGTTTAGTAAAACATTGGACATTATCTCCTAACCTCGATGGCCACTGCAACCATAGGCAACAGATAACATAGACTTGAACTTAATGAATTCTTCGTGTCGCACGTTTAAGAGCCCTCTTACGATTTTAATATAACTTTTGACATTACCGACTTGGTAACGAAACGCATCGGCTAAATAAAGAATTCTGTACCTCGTTTGTGTTAAAAAATATTATATAAATTGTTAATAAATATTATATAAATTATTATTTAAATTGTGACAAACCAGATGATAGGGGTGGATCATACATTTTATTTTAAACTATAATTTTATAGACTTAATATTCAAAGTAGCTTATTCGCATTCACGTTTCGAGAATCATCGTAGTAATATTCATTCGATACGACGATGCAACGTCTGAATAATAATTACGGTCGAACCGTGTTTCGACTCGTATATATATATATACAACATCCGTTATTATTTAGTACATCACGTCGTGAAATATATTCGCTGTTTCTATCATAATTATGTAATAACTTTCCTTCTATAATCCTCCGATAATCTTTCTTCAATTTAATAATTCGTTGTTCAATTTTTCACTAGATTAACATATTAAAATATTCTCGTTGATTCGTTAGTATTAAAATAATCAAAACTTAAATTGATCACATTTAGCATAACTGCAACAATGTTATTTTATCTTTATCTACAATTTCTTTTGTTTTTAGTTATATTCTATAATTGAAAATTAAATACATATTTTTGTAATCAACGTTCTAAATCAAACATAAAGTCGCGCGTTCAAGCAGACGACGCGACGCTACTGTAACGACCACGTGAAAGCTGTGTCTCGTTGTTTATCGTAGGAAAATGGGTCGGAAAATTCCAGGAAAAAAGCACAGAGGCGTAAAAGATCCTCTTAAGCAACAGGCAAAACGACTGGCAGAGTGAGTTGTGTGTTAGATATGCTTTATTCTCGAATTATTTACATAAGTTAGTGAACTGCCTATTATAGGTTAGAAACAAAGATAAATGCACCGCCAAAAAATGCAGACGAACAAGCTATACCGAAAACTTTAGAAAGAGTAGTGAAATTGAAAGAGGCAGTGAAGTCAGGGAAGATAACCAAAGTCAAGAAAAAGAAAAAGAAAAAAAATGCCCTCATATCTGTTGGCAATAACTTGTGCTCTAAGCCTTTACATCCAAAGGCTAAACCAGATAAAGTTGTTCCTGTATTTCAACAGAGACCTGGTGAAAGTGAGGATAGATTTTTGCACAGAGTTAACAGGGATACTTACGCCTTTATTAATGAAACTGCCTTTGAGAGGAAATACAGTGTTCAAGTCAATCGAAATCCAAATACAGGAGAGATAGAGGGGCTTTCGAAATGCGAAAAAACTGAGTTAGATGAAATTGACATGTTGAGGTCAAAGCATAAAAATATTAAAAAAAAGAAGAAAAAGAAAGATACTGATGAACCTAAAATGAGTAAGTCGGAGAAGAGGAGAGAGAAATTGAAATCCAAGAAACAAAAACAAATGGAAGAAAAAGTAGATGAATTTGATACTTTTAAAGATCAAGTTAAATTTGGAGAAGTTGCTCATGAACCACCTCAATTAAAAGTCAGGCCAAAACATGCTGACAATATGAGTACCTTTAAGGTAAAGTTTTTAATACAATGTCCTTTTTAGTTATATAATGCTAATAATATTCGCTTATTTTTTGTTACAGCCTGGAAAAAAGAAACTGCTTCTTCATTCAATACTTAAAAAGAGTGAGAAGACAAAAATGGGGACTAAGAAAACAAAAGCCATAGATAAGTCAGGAAAACGCAAGAATCTACCAGTTGGAGAAAGGAGACAGTTAGAAAAACAGCAAAGTGATATCATAGCAGCATACAGAATGTTAAAAGCACAACGGTCGGCTGATGTTAACAACTAGGGTATGTAAATAATTAAAAATTATGAAATGTTTTTATGTATAAGTTTTTTATATCGACATATGAGTAGGATGCTATGAATCATTTTGTTGTAATCGCGAATTTGTTTATTTTTATTTTAATAAAATGTACAATTCTTTCATAATATATGTATTTTTGAACTTAAACATCACATTCTTTTTATACAATTATACAATTATTAGGGTTAACATGAAAATAGATGTATATATGTATATATATATATATTCTCATAGTCAAGATTTCTGTGCAACACATTTATAGGTACTAAAAATTCTTCCATAGGGACTAGTAATAAAGATTCATTGTTATTAACAAAAGAAACAGAACAAATTTCTAACAGTTCTTGCATTGAGTCAATTCAGATCATCTTTTAGCACCAGTGCAGTGTACTTATAAATTTTCTTAAGCTACCATTCAATATACTCTTTAACATTGATTTTATCCAGTAGTCCATACAAATGGTTCTAATCTATCCTCTACTGGTAAAAGATTGTTCAAAGTTTCAAGGCTCTCCAGAGTTTGATTCAGAAGAGAATGACATTTGGTTAGTTGTTTACTAAGCTCGTGTACTTTGTTCAGTTGTTCAGCAAACTTGGCAAACTTTTTTTGCCTTTCTGTTGCTAAATTAAGTATCTTTGTCACTTCTGGCTCGATGTTGATACATAGAGTAGATTGTTCAGCTGCGATCATTTGAGCATTAGTATTAAGATGATGTTGATACCTAGCACACAGGTTAAACAAACCAATGGGATTGAGTCTTTCCAGCACCTCCGGATCTCTGACACCTGGGGGCAAATTGAGAGTGCCACGCATAATAGGTAGGAACATGGGAATACTTTGTAATTTAACCAGATCAGGATCTTTGTCAGCTGTTGGATCTTGCATAGCTGGTTTCACTACTACTATGTTATGGATTTTATCAGAGGTAGTTTTTCTGTAATTAGAAATTACAAATTTATTATTCAAATAAAATATATTACTGAAAAATAAATTTTTAAGATAATATGTTACCTGTAGCTACTGGAACTTAAACTATTTTTACGTCTAGATATATCTTGCCCACCAAAACTTTTGCCTCTATATAGCTGTGACTGTTTATTTGTCATCTTTGGTGAATCTCCAATAGGTCTATTCACAGTGTAAGATATATATGGTAGATCAGAATCCGAACAAATGCTTGCACCAGGACTGGTACATCTCGGTGGTGTGTCTTCTGGTACTCTTTCACGATTTGGTACACTTTTTCCACGTCTCAATGGTATATTTCTTGTCCTGTTAGCGCTAGCGTTGTGCGTACCACCTTGAGAGCTCTGTTCCGATCCCATCCTATCTGGTTCTTTTAAAATTTTCCTCTAATTCTTTCGTAAAAATCACATTAAATATATACACACTTCTCTAACAATCTACATTAATCTGTCTCCACAATGAAAATTTCGTACGGTTATTTTGTCATTAACGATACAGACAGTTGATGTCAGGGATAATTATATCAATAATCGTCATGTTAGATTTAAGGCCATTTGACGTTGCTCGTTCTTGTATGATGTTTTAATTAACGCCGCGTTCGAAGTGTACATTTTTGTTCATCTCACAATTAAGGAAGTTCATAATAATTAACAATGATAAAAACAATTTTTTCGATGCATAATAAATCTTTGATCGTGCCTTGATTACGTTGTAAAATATTACTTAAATAGTAACAGTATCGAATATCGCTATAATACAGTCACTCCGATATCAGTTTTCCGCTCCTATTGTCAAAAAGTCATTTACTTTCAATCATTGATTGTTCATGCGGCTAGATTTCACGTGTCGTGGCTGTTCTTACGGCGAGGACGCCATCTGTTAAAATTGTTCTCGAAGTTGAAAACACGGAAATTGTTTTTGCTCGATAACATAATTTCCTGACATAATTTTTACGGATAGAATATATAGAAGAATGTAAGTATTATATGTTTTTCTTTTTCTTTTATTTTTGAACGAATTTCTTTCCATTTTTAATTTTAACAAAATAGCATCTATAAATTAAAAGAGTGATATTTTAAAGAATAAAAGCTGCAGTACATCGAGTACACGATTTTGTTTTCGCTGTATATTTCGAAACTTTATTTAACGTTTACTTTATTCTCTGGAAGTTAGTAAGAGCTGTTAACACAAACATACGTTTTATTATCGCTCGGGCAGCGATATATAAATCGCTGGGCCGCTGACACGGTTGATCATCGATTTTATCGGTTCCATTTTCGTATTTCCGACAAGTGTTGCCTAAATCTTTGATAACAGCCAAACACGTTGCAGCTGCCTTATGAATAGATAATAATTCTTTTTTTTCATATCTATTTTTTTTCTACACAAAAAATAGATAAGAGTATTCATCTCCTTTTCGTTAAATATATAAAAAAAAGATATCCCATTAATATTTCCACGAACCGCAAAATTTATCCTTATCCAAATCAAAGAAATCTTCTAAAAAAAGAAAAAAAAAATTGTCTTATCCTTTTCAACAAAATCTCTACGAGATAATTTAAATATATTGAAAGATTCGCTCCATGGTTTTATTAAATCGTAATATTGGCCGGTATTGCGCAACATGGAAATTTTCACATTCTACTATGGGTGCAACGATCCTTATATACCAGGTTTGGATTTTATCCAGACTTTCCTCGCCTCGTGTAAGTTCGCCAAAGATATCAACATTAAATTTACATTGATTCTCGGCGTGACGCTGTGCATACCGTTAGGCTTCATTTTTCCCTAAGCCTGACACCAGAAGTTCGCGTTGCTGAAGCGAATTCTTGTGCAATCGCGTTTATATGTCAACGAACGACATTTTCTTCGCCGCTGAATCGCAGAGTTATCGGCCATTCGGTGTTATGCCCCGTACGACTATTACGTATTCGCGAAGATTCACGATTTACATTCTCTTATGTTCTCTTCCGTTTATTTCGTAACGTTTCTTCGTTCATAGGATTTAATTTATAATGGAATTATTAGTAACGCAGTTATCGATATTTGCTTCGTACAAAAAGTTACAAGTATGTACATTTTCTATGCGATATCAGAAACGTGAGAAATCTCTTTGGTCCAGATTTGGATCAAATTTCGTGTTGTTATTTTTGTATTTATCTTTGGATAAATCTATCACACCGTTCTGAGCCGAAAAACCTTTATTGCACTTTCTTGCAGGTCCTTAACTTCCTTTACGACTTGCAGGTCGTAAACTTCCTTTAATTTATACCATAATTCATGTGAAGGTTTGCAATGCTTCACATGACATAGCTCACTCGAACTCATGGTAAGAATAATATCGATTCTGGCTTTACCATCCTTTTTATTCCGTAAAGAGGTTTCATCCGCTGCTTCAGGTTCAATTATTGAACCATTCGCATATTCCCACAAGTCATCTTTAATGAGTATTGCCTCCATTTGCAATTTCCATGTGTCGTAATTTTCTTTATTTAGCTTTCCAATACTTAAACTCGCCCCGCCTGACATTTTTATATTCTTTTGATAACTGTATTATCACGTAAGCAATTATTATATATTCGATAAAGCGCTCTTATGATATTCAACACTGAATCATCGATCACGCACGTTTTTTTTTTTGTTTTTTAGGTTATCTTCTGCGCTCCTCGATATTATTATTAATAATATTTTCAATAAAATAATAACCTGGGCCCATAAGCTGTTATTATTTCTGTATTTAGAGATAGGACCACAATAGCTATTATTTTATTTTTTTTATAAATCTATCATACCGTTCTGAGCCGAAAAACCTTTATTGTTCTTTCTTACATGGGCTAACATCTTAAACCTATCGATTAAATCTATCGATTGTGTCTAGAACTATCTTCTAGTTACTATTTATTGTAACTAGCGCATCTGTATATGGATGGCAAGCGTAAATTCACGTTGTTATTTTCAACATTTCGTAGACTCGTAGAATAGGGAAAAATAGTAGATGCGTAGTTCATCTCCGTTGAAATTTTCGTGTAAATTTTCACCTGAACCTCCTTTGAAATCTTCACAACAACCTTAACATTGGATGAGGATTTGAGCGAAGGAGATCTAGGTAGAGGTTTCGCTGAGAAAAGTACGTACGTACCTATTTTTGGCTGTTGTTCGAGTCTGCGAAGCTTCATCCAAGCCGGAGCCGGACCTTTCGCGATCCTCCCTTGTTAGTTACAATGTCCTACCTGGCATTCTTCCATTTTTCAAGATACATCGAAACACTTGAAGTTGCTCGTTTTATATCTCCAGTAAAGTTATATGCTACAGGCTGTTACGAAGCAAGGTGAAAATAATTTTAATTAAACGAAGAAACACGAAGGTGGCACGAACAAGGTTTCTGGTTCTTTTCAGTTTCGAATCGAGGGGCGGGGGG